TTCAACTCATTAGATGTTCGATACAGTAGAACTTCTACAGTGTATATATATATATATATATATATATATATATATACAGAGAGAGAGAGAGAGAGAGAGAGAATGTGCATTAAAAAATTATTTACACGAGGTTTCGAATAAAATTTTACTAATATTATATGAGTATTATAAACTATTTAAATGACGTCAGAGCACCGTTACTAAAATATAAGCACTCTGTATTTGATATTAATAGCATAATAACTTGTTTACATTAAATAATAAATAGAATAAATACTTTTAAGGAGAATTCTTCGTCTCAAATACTTTTTTATTTGTATTAGCAGAGAAAATTGAGTTAAAATTGGGTAACCTTGAGCTTTTTTTCTACTTAGCTTCGTTAATAAAATTGCTAAGATTTTTATTTGATTTAAAAATTAGCCCTTTTGCTTCAAAAGTAAATAATATTTGCCTTGAAAAACTGTATTTTGGAAGGCGAATGAATTACTTTTCAGAAATAAATCAACACTCAGCACCTTCCTAGAACAAAATTGGGTATATATATAGAAATAATTAAAAAAAACAAAACATTGAACATTTGTCTGAAGTATTTAGTTTTAACATTAAATTAGTACAGTGAACTTTCTTTCCGGAGTTTAAAAATATAAAGAACATAGCCAATTTTAAATTTAAATATCTTTAGAACTTTTTGCAAATTAATTTGATTCTTCAGATGTAAGTACGAAAATCTGAAGTAACTTATACTTATCTTCATTGATACAGACGCATATCTCTTACAGAAGAGATACTAAAATTACCTGACACCATATACAAGTTTTTTGACCTGTAACTCAATCTTTTGCACTACCAGTTATGTCGAATAAGGTTCCCGGTTTTTACCGACAACACAATTTAACTGGAAAAAAGATTCAGCATAATTTATAGGTGATTCATAACCTGCTTCAATAAGTTTAGAATAGTAGTTAAAAGAGATGTTAAGAAAAGATGCTGAACTTACCTGAAATAAATCTTAATACCGATTGAAACTAAAGATAATTTGGTGGTGTCAAAATTACAACTTTTCTTATTGAATTTTTCAAAATAGCCTACAATAATGGTAAATAGCCTAGACTCTCATTCATTCATATTTAAATAATATGACGACTGTCTGTAACTAAATTTATGTTTCTAATAAATGGCAATAGTAGTCAAATGAATTATTCTGGTTTTCGGTTTTATCCCCCAAAGCGGTATTTCCCAACTAATTTTTTTTAACGGTATGGATTTAAGATAAATGTTCGAAAGTTTTATGCAAAATTTAACTATCTTCTCTAAACCTTTCACCATTTAAAACTCCAAGTTTTACAACATAACAGGCGTGGAATTTAAGTTTGGCGCTTATAGCACCTCTGTGAACATGAAAATCAGGGTTGCTTTAAATACGTGTTCTGATCGTTGGTATTTTTTTCCCATCCGAGAATATTTTTATTATGTTTTCTTAATTTATTTTTTCATGCTGCTACAGCAGCTAAAGAAAAGAATCATTTCACTTATAAATAAGGCAACTATATAATTTATTTAAAAATAAATTAAGATATTCATAAGAGATACAATGAGTAATTATTACTTCAATAACTAAAGTATAAATAAATAATTTCCCCAATTAGATAATCCTTTTAATGTCAGTATATAAATACTTTTTGTATGAAGATTAAGTACGGTATTGAATTGCAAACATTACCACAAAAATAAACATGCTATATTTTATATTAAATAAGCATGAACCTTCCTCTGAATCAAAACATAGAATGAAAGGAAAAAACCATTAAGATATATCGAAAAAAGTACAAACGAGTTGTTACAAAGGAAAGAAAGTGATTTTATTTAAAAGGGAAAAGGGGGGAATGGCTGTTAAATTGTATCATTTTCAATAAATTTAACCATTCTTAAACTTGATGACATGATACTGTGGATTATTAGAAATATTTCTTGATTAAGTGGAAAACGTACAAAATATTATTATTCAAATTACTGTCTCTTTCAGCATTGAATTTACTTTTTTTTATTCAAATGGCACTCAAGGTATTTCTCTCATATAAAGTAGGTTTAAGAGACTTACAGTAAGTGTAGGGCACCTCTTTTTTAAAATGACTTATTTTAAGCTTGGTTATGATTTAACTTTTCTGAGTTTTATGGGATTATGAACTTCATTTAATTCATAGTGACTAATACGGGGACCGGAGACAGCAAAGAAATAATAATAATATTTTCTCTTTAAGTCTGCACGGTGAAGAAAGTCTTGTAACATTACCGTACTGAATGGCAATGGCATTTCTTGTTTAAAAAAAAAGCAACAACATAATTCTTGCTAATGGAACCAAAATATATGGTATTTAAACCGTTCATTGGGTAATGTTTTCGTTCATATGGTGACGGTTTACCAGAAATTCTGACTTTCAAAATTACAGTTCTCTTTAGCACATATTAAGTAATAAATAGCAAACTGAAAAGTAAAATTAACCGTTCAAATGGTTAAAATATGGTTAATTAACAATGGTCAAAATTAACCGATCAAACACGGCAAATTTTACC